CAGAGGTTACAATGACCTTTGGACAGTCTACAGACAACCATCCTCATAAGTCTACAATACACTAATAGGACTACATCATAACAGTAATCATTTTTAAAAAAGAAACAAATGTCTATGTGCACCAACTGAAGCATAAATGAAAATATAATTCTTAACATGATGGATGAAAAAATATGTACATTGACTCAAACATTTGCAGGACAAATACATTCACAGATAACTTTCTTACACACTTCTTTGAAGACATGTACAATAGGTTATACTAAAAAGTTATAGGTGCACATGAATCAAGGTATACGACATATGTAGGAACACTTTGTCATTGTCCACACCATTTAAACAAACTAACCTACATTCTAATGAGCACTAAAACAAAAAGAAATTGACTTGAGTGTTAGACTATCTTCGAGTGCCTCTCACCTTTATTTTTGCAAGGGAAGCCTCTGTGATAAAACACATTGCTTTTATTTGCTTTTTTTGAGGGCTATCAATTCTAACAGGAAATGTTTGTAGGCGAGCAGCCTGTGATGAATTGTGGGTGTGGGGAATCCCGGTGTCAGGTACGAAATGTGAGTAGTGAAGACACAGCCTCAAGGTAAATGCAATCGTGCCAACTGAATAGCAATATGGTAATTAAAGTGTAATTCTCCTTTCCACACAATAAGATTATTTAAAAGACACTACATATTCGTCTGAGAAAGGATCAAACCAATTAATTAGGCAGAGAGCATGAAACCTCCTTGAACAACCCAAGTCTTGAAACACCCCTGAGTGGACTGTTGGAGTCCAAAGCGTTTCTGTACAACACAAAGCTAAACTTGAAATCTCCATGCCAGTAACGGATTTAATTCAGACTCAAAGAGTAGTAGATGACTCGATTGAAACATCGAAGGAGTAAGACATACGGCTATATTACAACCACATGCCTTTTGACCTTAGTCTGTTAAACTCAGCAAGATGAAATTTCATACACTGGGAAAGTCAAAACTGTATAGAAAAGCCAAAATAACAAGAAACTGGTCTGTCACAACATTCTTTGTCCATTCCCAGGGAAAGGATGGATATCCCTACCTGATTACTATTGTTTTATATCCCCCATTAAAACAATCTGTATCATCAAGGAGACAGGCTGCGCCTACCTTCATTTCACACACCACAGTCAAAGGTCATTACTTCTTGGGACAATCAACTTCAGACAATCAGAAAACTTAGAAAAATCTAAACCAAACATCACTGATTCTGTACAGACTCAGAACACAATGACTTCAGAAATCTCAACCCTGAGTGTAAAGATACTACGTTAGATGAACAGCTGTAGCAGATCCAATCAACACGAGAGTGACGAGGTATTAAGCAAAGGCACTTGCAATAAATATAACATTATAGCTAAAGACATGTGTACGTTTGAGATAGAATAATTTAGAGAGCAAAACAACAAGATGGAATATGAATATAAATAAAAGCTTTTTTTTCTATACAGCGTTGTATTCACTCAAACGCACGCATCGTCATTCACATTTCTATCTTTATTGACTACAAGCACAGTCAAACTTGCTCTAATGACCACAGTCCAGGACAATAACGGTATAAACGACTACTTCCCACTACCTCCTTGGTGCTTTTTCCATTTTATAATGACAATGTCCAAGAAGACTTTAAGATGATCACTGCCCTCCTCGACAAATTGGTAGTCATCTTAGACTGGTTCGACTGCATACAATAGTAGGTTCGATTGCATATATTAGCACTGGGTAAACTGAAGAAAAATGGGAATGCACCTTTCCTAAGGCTTAGCATGTAGAGAAGCCAGGAATCAGTCCTACAACCTCTCTACTGTAAGTCCATCGTGTTACCACTTGGCAAGATACTTACTTTACCTAATCACACAATGTATTTAGTTTTAGTAGAGGTTCTACGGCGCTCGCAACTGCATAAGGTCATATGAGCACCAAGGGGTGGATTTCAACAGAGAAGTCCTTCCTTAAAGGGAATCAGACCTACTCTGCACACCTCTCTAACTTCAACAGTACAAAGTCTGCTTCCACTATCAAGGCACCCTGGAAAAAGTGGGTCACAAGAGTGTGACAAACATACAAAAGAAGCAGAGGAAAAATGACAACAGTAAGGATTAGGAAAGAAAAAGCAGCAGTTCCCTGTTGTAGATCAGGCATAGTTATGAGCGTGACATTGATGAGTCAGCTCATTTACAATTCTACTGTGCATGAACGAGAAATGTCCCTCCTTTGGGAATGGCCTAAAGATACCTCATTAAGTGGCACCGCCCCGATGTAAGCTGGGATTTAGTAATAAATGTAAAAGTCTGTCTCCTTGGTTGACAGTAAAAAACCTTTGGAAACTAAGTTGAAAAAAACCCTAAGTCTCACAAAAGTAAAGAAAGCCATTTTGTGTTAATTTTGGAATGTTCAATCACTGGGAATGGTATTATCAACCCTTTCTGTCTAACCTAAACAACAAAGCAGAAAAGTGTTTGAGGTAGATAAATTTGCCTGACAAGTTGATACAAATACCAGAGGATGTTATGACACAGCAAACAGTCAGTCTCTTTAACAATTAATGTTAATGCTTGCTTCACTCTGCATCTTTTCAGAAGAAAAAAAATGGCTAAGAAAGCTTAGTCATGTTCAAGATTAAGCCTGGTCAGCAGTCTTTTCTGGGATCCAGCACATGGAAAAGATGTGCAATATGTCTGGCATATCAGTCACATGACTAGATAGCATTCTTAACAATATAAGCTAATCGTGTCTAGTTCAGAAGGCTGCAATTGTTGGTGTTGGTATCACCTCAGCTGTTTTCACACACCAGTTTCAGCTCAGTAATTATAATACTCCACAACATTCTTCTTATGAAAAAGTCTTACACTCTATCAAATGATTAGATCATCTTGGTGATAGGCCTCTTGGACCCAGGCTATGTGGGACACATCCCTGCAAAAAAACCACAAAATACAATTTAACACGGATAGGTCGAACACTGAAGACTCAAAAAATAAATTCAAGCTATCCATGTTACGCTGAATATTCAATAAAATACTTTCCCCACGAGCCTCCAAAGTGTTACCAAAACCAACAATGTACATCTCTTTGGTCATTCAGGAAGCACTTACAATAGAGTTGAGTTGATTTGAGATCCCATTTGATATCGTTTACCATTCCTATGAAAACAGAAAAAGACACCTTCTGAGGAGGCGGAAAGTGCAATTAGACCAGTTGATCCATGAATGAAAGCATGTTAAAATCCACTTAGTTGGAGTACAAAATTCAAACACATGAATGAGAGGTAATACGGAATGCCCAATACGTCTGGATCGGGCCGATCGCCCGACTCGATCGAGCCGGGCGATCGGCCGATCCCAGCCGTAGTGGGCACCCCATACAAGCGATAACGAGATTAATGTTTACTTTTCATCACAAGGCTTATCTCTCTACAGGAATGTGCTCCTCGTGAAATTAACTGAACTGAGTCAAATCTGGACAGGAAAGTGGGATGACACAGGTCACTGAGAACAAGGTCAAGGCACATCTAGAAGAGACCTCATTTCCAAACAACAAAGAGGCACATCAAACGTAACCCGACATTCTAACAAACCAAGGACAAATAGGGTGTAGGTGAAGGAATGTCCTTAATTTACAAATGCTTATAAAGGGAAAAGTCCTTATGAAATTTCACAACACGTCACTGGAATGCAGACGGCAATATGGAATTTAAATAATCTGGAATACTTCAAGTAGCAGTTATGTTCTATATCTGACTACAAGGCAGAAAATGCTATAAGAGACACTAACATTATATTCAACAGAGTAAATATAGATATATTTGCCTTCATATTTTTTAACCATGTGAATGGTTAGTGAAATATAAATCATTTGTTATCAGATTTCTTTCGACGATCATCGTGAAAACAAATCTAGAGACTATATCCAAAAACAATACGATGGCTGGATGCAAGACTCCAACTAACACCATTTTTCAGTTCGGCGTGAGTCAGTCTTACACCCAGTCATCGAACAGACAATGACCACATAAATGTGCAAGGATCAAACCCAAAGACAATACTGAATGACTAGATCCAGTGACTATTATCATCCCTGTCACAAGAAAAATGAGTAAATCTGCAGGACCCTACTTTACAGGTAGAGGTAGAAAACAGAGTCTCCCATTTTTCTTGCAAAGAGAAGTTATACAATCACCATGTCCTATTTTGTTCATCTCCCTCAAGTAAAACAAAAGTTGCCTCCCATGATCATACATCATCATAGCGTGCTCACTTCTGGATTCAGTTCAATCATCTCAGCAGAAATCAGAGCTAGAGGCCCAATACTAAGAGTACTCGAGCTCTTTGTGGATGATTTGAGCAAGTCACTACAGTAACGGACAAATGGTGACTGCACATCAACATCAGGTGCCACTATTCTCACGTTAGTACAGCACACAAAAGAGTGCATGATATACTTTTTGATGTGTTTAACTGTCCTTTATCACTCTTCCCTTCTTCATTTTCACCACACGGCCATCATGGGGTTCCATTTTGAAATGACTTCATAGCGTCTATTAGGGAAGTAAATGCATTCAGAAAGAGATGCAGTGAAAGATAAGCTCTCAAATCATTCCCGGCAGGTGGACATTTATGTAACAGCACCTCAGACCTGCCAACCACTACACGATCAAGAATAGGAGTTTTCCTCAGAACCCTCCCTCAAACCAGAGTTTGGGGGAAGAAATCAAGAGTCTCTAGAAACCAAGTACATTAAGATAGTGTGGCAAGCTGAAAGTAGCAAATAAATGTCTTCAGGAAATACACACAAATAAGCATCTGTATTGTCATGTCATTTGTGATAAGTCACACAAATATTGCAAATAGACCAGTGTATTTCTATTTATGGTAAGTTGTGTACGACTGATGGAAACAGGATTCAAGAAAAAGAAATGATTTGGGGCAAATCTGAGCGGGGTTCTTAAAAAATAAAAAATAAAGTTAAAAATCAGAGGGCTTTGATTTTATTGGAGTACTAGGCAGGTCTGCAATCCAAGTAAAATGTCCTCAATATCTGGTAAATCTACAGACTACAAGCTCAAACAAGAGCATTGACCAAAACTATTCCATCTGATACTTAACACAGAGAAGTGAAGGACACAAGAAGTGTGAGTAAATAAGAGCTTCCACTTTCTATATGACGCCATTCTCACTAACAATAAGAATAAATGCAAAAGATCTATAGCCCTTTATATGATCAGCTGATACTAATACAATCTTTTCTTCTGTTCCATAACAGCACATCCAAGTACAAACATAAACATATCAATTAAATTAATGTATAGAACTCAAGCTTCATAAATACATCTGTAAACAGAGAAAAAAAAAAAAAAACTATACAGATGTATGCAAATGTGTACAATTTGATGACAAACATTTTTCTCAAAACATTTGTCTCTTTCCTCTTGAATAAAAGGTACAGAGAAGTACTTAGGGCACTCAATACCTGGGGTAAGGGGGACCCCCGATCCATGTTAATATTCCTTACACTCTGCATTCAAGGAATATGATAAACAGGGAATTTTGAATCTCCTGTTGGGAGCTGTCAGCAAGGAAGATTGGAGTTGTGGACAACTCTCTACTCTCAACAACCCAACTTTTATTTGCTGTCAGTATCTGAATCAGGCAAGTGAGCATCAAGAGAAACAGAGAGAGTATTTTTCCAGTCACAGAAAATCAAATTGCCTGTTTACAGTGGGGTCCATTTAAAACATATCAAGGATAAAATGAATGCTCACAGATAATAATCAATTGTTGTCTGTGCTTACTTCATAAGTTCTGCAAGTCCAAATAATATGAGCATTTTGGGCACAAAGTCCCGTTATATTGAACTCAGCAGAGGTCTCCCAAACAGTTTTTTATTTTTATTTTGATCAATCAGCTATCAGTCATTGGTTGGCAGGGGGACGGATCTAGCAAAAATATGCCTACGTCTTTGTAAGGACCAGCCTTCTCTCGAATCTTTTCCTTTATATAAAATCATTGAATACCAGTATTAAATCATCAAGGACGAGCAGAGAATCTTGATGTTTGATGACTTCCAAAAATCGAAACGTTAGAACCTAGAAGCTTCCATTTTTTTTTAAAAACAGATCCCGACAGCACTCACAAAGTAGAATGGGGATCAGACTATGACGACCATCAAACCATACCATTCATAACGCAGGACATGAACAGTCAGACCAGAACCAAAGAGCAAAGGACATCTCAAGTTTCTGAAGCAAAGGAGATATCCAGAAAAAAAGTCACACTCTGGAAGACGACAACATCAGAGGTCCCTCCTTCCTCAAACCCAGACACCATTCGGGTTCTGGGCCGCCAGCGCCGACTTGTAGGTCTGCTGAGCTGACGTGATGTTGTAGGAGCCGTTGCCGTCTGCAGTGCCAGGCGACAGGCGAGGGGACAGACGACCCTCCAGGATCTTCAGGATAGCTGGAAAGAGAAAAGCACAAAAATTATCATATATTTTGAGGACCAATTCATTGTAAATAGTTTTACATCCTAGGAGTCAAACTGCTGGACATAGAAAGGGAAAAAAATTGTCAGATATTATGAGGACTGATTCATTGTAAATAGTTTTTTTAAATTCTTGCATAAGCAATGTAGTGGACGATTTAGGAGTCAGACTGTCAACCCTGCCTGTCAGGGCCAACCCGAGCTGTGGATGTTAAATTGAGAGTAAACATCTTTCTCAAGTGAAAATACAACTCATGCCTATGGGAAAGAGCCTAACTATTACATCACAAGCATAAGAAGAAATCAGAACTTCAACCACTTATGCAGAATACCTTTAGCTCTCAGTCTAGGCTATTGTGGACTCAGTCATGTTAGAGAAAGACAAAAAAATCAAAGGTCTTGCCATTTCGGTAATGTTTGTTTTAAACAATGTTGTAAATATATACCATACATTACTAATAACTTCATCGTGAAAATTTTGCTACGATAACCATCTAGTTTTTGTGGTATTTCCAGTAGCACATTTAAAGCCTTACTAGAACCTTAATGAACCACATTTAAAAATAAGAGTTAGAATGGTCTGAATATCAGAAAAGTAGAGAGAAAGAGAGAAGAAAAGAGAGGAGGAGAAACAGAGAGAAGAAGAGAAGAGAGAGAGAGAGAGAGAGAGAGAGAGAGAGAGAGAGAGAGAGAGAGAGAAAATGATAAAGAAAGAGAATAACAGAAACGGAGTCAGAAAGAGAGCAAGCGAGAAAAAGAAATAATGAAACAGCAAGAGTGATGGGGATTGAGAGAGAAAACGAGTAAGAGAGTGACAGAGAAAGAGAGAGAGAGATACACCCACCCTCTCCATCGTTGGCCGACTGTGTGACAGAAGCAGGTGAAGACACCGCTGTGGTCTCCTGTACAGCGTCGGCCACAGACACGGGGGGAGGCTCTTTGAGCACTGGGTGGGCCTGGAAGTCTTTCATGTTCTCATGCCGGAGCTCCACCTCCAGGTCGGACAGTCGCGACTCCTGAAACGTCATAGAAGGATAAGATATTTAGTTTAATTTTGTTCCAGTAAGAGTTTTACTGCACTTTAGTTTTGGTTTTAGGAAGAGTTTTATGGCACTTGCAACACAATAAGGTCATATAAGTGCCGAAGAAAAGAGGTGTTACAAGAGAGTAACAAAAACAAAAAAGAAGGAGAGATCAGGATGACAGATGTTTGATAGGAAAGAAGGAGAAAACCACACCAGAGCACCCACCAACCACTCATTTTTATTGCACTTGCAACACAAACAGGTCGTTTAAGTGCCGAAGATTAGAGGTGTCGCTAGAGAATAACTTGAAAACAAAAGGAGGAAAGATAATGGCAACAAATGTTTAATAAAAAGGAAGTAGCAGACTACACCATAGCACCCGTAAAACCACCAACAAGGATACGACAAGATGAAATAAGATAAATAATCTGAGAGAAGTGGAAAGCACATCAGCAAGATAGCGGCCACTCATGGCATTAAGACAGACAGACAGACAGACAGACAGACAGACAGACAGACAGACAGACAGACAGACAGACAGACAGACAGACAGACAGAAACAAAAGAAGGAATGAACAGAAAAAGGACCTCCAAACAACACATTGAAAAAAGCAAAGTTCCTATGCGACAAAATAAGACAAGACAAAATGAACAAAACCAGATAAGGCAAGAGGCAATAAGACAAAACAAAAATGATATATGGTACGTCAACGAAGATTAAATAAAACCAACACAACTAGACAAGACGAGATAAGATAAGACAAAACATATAGGCCTAGAATTATCAGTCTTAATAATTCCACTAGACTCACCTGACTTTTGAGACTGTTCTCAGCATCAGAAACATCCTCCTCTATTTTCCTCAGTTGACCCTCCTTCTTTTCAACAGAAGCATTTAATGATTCAAGCTCTCCCTTTGCTTTTTTACATTCCAGTGCTGTCAGTTTTTCTTTCTGTTGGGAAACATAAAAATCAAAATCATGAAGTAAAAGCTAATTTACTGTCTGTCTCTGGCTGTTATTATCTTTTTCCAATTCCTTTTCATCTACATATAAATTTATAGCATCTTATGATACGCCAAAGCCCAGATAAGTAGAAAAGCTTCTTACAAGATGAAAAGAAAACTAAATACACATTGCGAATGTATTCTCAGCCCCGGAAAAGTGAAAAAAAGCCCTAGTACAACAGGCATGAGGAAAAAACTTTGAAAGAAAAAAAAATTAACAGATGATCAAGTCTGAAACAGTATTGTATTACAACTTTTTAAAAAGGAACGCAGATTCAACCAATTTTGATGAAACGCTTGTGAATCATGAAAATCAATACTTTTGAGGAACAAAAAAAAACTGCCAGAAATTTATAACAGAAACATCCCCATAACAAGGCCCTTACAAGATTTTGGCATGTCCATGTCTTCACCAGAAAAAAATTGATAACTTCTTTTGAAACTAGAAATTTGCAAAAACAAAACAAAGATTTTTTTAAAACACTGGCCCAAAGAATACAATAAAACATGCAAGTTTATCAATGGCCAAGTTCATGAAACTAGTGTTTCACATTCCCCCTAACCCATAACAACTTGTCTTTTCCTTGTTCTTATTACACACCTGATGACAAAGATAGAATAAAATCCATATCGTCCAAACCTATTAAAATGTCAGAAGCTCAGAGAGCAAATTCTTTTTCAGGATAGAGAAAAAAAACGTCCATTCTTTTAACAATTGTACCAGCTTTTTAAAGAAATGGGGGGGGGGGGGATTTGTATTTGGCTTAGCACATTTGACAGATATTATACTTCCCTTCACAAAAATGAAGACAAATGGTGTTCAGCCTCTTGACTTTGCTATGAAAATTGTGATTATTTTGCCTTTGGGATTTCTGAAACAAGCCAAAGATTTGTCACTTTCACCTTTTCAAAAATTCAAGAGCATACTTACCTCTTGATGCTTCTTTTCTTCATTTTGTACATGTTCTTTTTCTTTCTCCACCTCCTTACTCTTTTTGTCCTCTTCCTCTTTGAGCTGTGTGAGCTGAGAATCCATTTCTCCAACTTTCTCATTTAGTTTTTTCATCTGAAAGGACAACCATCAGACAATCAGAGTTACAGCAGGGTGAACCTTAAAGTACAGCAAAATCACAAGATGGGGCTTGAATTAACATTTTAACAGAGATAGCAGTAATACCACACAATGCAACACATTTCTCGTATTTTAATCTGCAAATTTTCCCCCCCCAAAAAAAACACACACACACTAACCAAAAAACAAAAGAAAAAACAAAAAAAAGCCCCAAAATATCCGTCTTGTGGCTCGTCAAACTTAAACAAAAACTGAACAATAAAAAGTTAAGGTGTTTGCCTCTCATTCAAAGGTCCCGGGTTCGAATTCGGGTAGCCACGAAAAATTTTCTTCTCTAAAATTGTCTCCTTTTACCTCCTTTCCTGCTCTCTCGCAATGTTTTGTAGTCTGCTTTCGTCTCCACTTTCTACCCCCACCCCCTCACCTCCTTTGTCCCCTCGTCTGGGCTCTTGACTCTTCTGCAGCCTTTCTACTGCTACTACTTGGCTCCTTCTTACAGCTGTCTTTCAGCCACACCCCTGATCTTTTGGTAGGAAAGATCTACACCTAGCCTTCTTGGACAAGGGCGAAAAATCTTGGAGGTAACGTGTGCAAGTTGCCCAGGTTAAAGATCCCTTGGTGGTCTATAATCGATAAGAGTAGGCTTCGGCCGCCACCAGAGCAAAATTCAAAATTTCCTACCAACTGAGAATGTTTAATGAGTCCTGCACGGTCATACGACTTTATGCAACTGCGAGCGCCGTAAAACACTCACAAAACAAACAAACAAGACTTGAGCTAGGCCTCACCTGCAGATTCAAGTCCACCTCCCGCTTGCGCTCACCGTCCAGCACGTTGACCCACTCCACCCGCTCCAGGTCCTCCAGCTCTTGCTGGCCCTCCGCCTCCTGGCGCTCCAGATCTGAGAGGTCAGAGGTCAAGACCTCCAGGCTGGGAGAGTTGCCGTTCTGGCCTGCCTCTTTTTCCTCCAGGTCAGCGATCTCTGAGGGAGCACGAACACTTTAGTGTAAAGTTTGAGTTTTGGGGGAATCCCACGCCCATTGTAACAGAGTGTTGTGGAGGATGATGACTAGATCTATTTTGTTCTGGATAAGTTATGGAACAGAATATAATGAACAGTAATTATCACAACATCAACAGAAAGTATAAATACACAGGTAGCCGTGTGCTTACAAGTTGGTATTTGTTTTGTTTGTTTGTTTGTTTGTTTTGGGGGCAGGGGGTGGTTCTGGGGTGGGGGGGGGTTGGGGGGAGGGGAGGGGGTTTGGTGTGTGTGTGTGTGTGTGCGTGAGGGGGGGGGCGGTGTGTTGCACCTCCTTGTAGTGTTAGATAGACCCTTTAAAGGCCAGACAACAAATCCAATCTTTTCACTCTGCCTATGTTCCAAACATAAACTACTTTCCTTCTTTTACTTACCAGTGTGTTCAGAATAGAGAAACATAGTGTACACTGAGCTAAACAGAAAAAAATACTAACAAAACTATGGTTATTCAGTGATGGCAGGAGCAAACTATACTGATAATTGTGAACAAAGTGACGTAGGGCCAAACTGGGCATCCTCAAACCACTAGCTTTGTTTAAAAAAAAAAAAAGAACATTTGTATGTGCAGTTTCAGTATATGTTGAGAGACGGGTAGATGACCAAGTAAGAAGAGAGAAAAGAAGTCACCCAGTGCCCCTTCTCAGTAGAACAACAGACCATTTCACATCTCCCACACTACTCAGGATATTAACTATCCAATCAGAAATGTCCATAAATTGATAAACACTGAGCAGGAAGTAACACAAAATACAGTATTTAAAAGGGAAAAGAAACCTAACCAGCACTTGAGAAATGGGTAGTCGAGACGCCATAGAGTCATCCGAACACTAACTCTACCTTTAGACTTTAGAATCCTGCCCATATTTGTTGAGCAGGGATCTGGTCGAGACAAAAAAACAAAATCACTCCTGCAAAAGGGAGAAAAGCGCAAAAATGTAATAAAGCAAGAAGATCTTTAGGTATCCAATAAGGGGTATTTACTCATTTGAAAACTCAACGAAAAGATCAGCATGAGTTCTTACCTATATTAGTAGCGTTGATCTGAGCCTCCTGGGTCTTGATCCGCTCCTGCTGCATTTTCACCTGTCTCACCAGCTGCAAGTATTCCTGCTGCAAGTGAAGCTCCCGGGAGTCCACATTCCCACTGTCCAGGTGATACTCCTGCGGCATGTTGGAATGCGGAGGCCTGACGTGGGCACGGCCACCCATGCCAGCCTGATTCTCTCGTTGAAAGACATCCGGGAAGTTCTGGTCAAGGTCATATTCTTCCACCTCCAGACTCGCCTGACGGGAGTGGCCATCCTCAGGCAGTGACAGCAAGCCACTTACCCCCGATGACGCACTAGTATACTGGTCCAAGTTCTGAATGTCAAGGTTATAGGCTACGGGGTCATCTCGAGGGGAAGATGCAGATCCTTGCCGGCTCGTTCTCGGAGAGACCTCAGTGAAGGCAGAATTATGTCTCGAAGGAGATATAGACAGAAACGAGGAGGGAGGCTGAGCTTTGGAAATCTCTGCAGTGGAATACTGATGGCCGTGTGCGTTAGAGCTAGAGGGTCTTACACCTGGTAATACGGCACTGCCCCCTGAAACCTCCAAGCCCGCTGTGCCTGGTGAATCATCCCCAGATTTACTGTCAGAAATCTGCTGCTGCCAGTTCTGGCTGTCCAGGTTCTGCAGTCTGACATGGCCGTCAGCACTGTGTTGCCGGACGTGAGCTCCGGACCCAGACTTGCTGCTGTCAGAGCTAGACCGCTGCTGTTTCATCAGAGCTGACTCCACAAAGTTGAGTTTACCACCTGTATCACTCCGCTTCAGCTGGGTGAACCCAGCGGATGGGAGAGACTTACTCAGCTGTTGACTCTCAGCCAGTTCTGCTTGCCTTCCCTTAGCGCTGGACATCTGAGGAACACCTCGGCTCTGTTGGGGCACCGGTGCCGGTCGTTCCGCAGACTTCGACCTCGGCAGGACTTTTCTGGACACCTCCACAGGTCGTGACCTGCTCATCTGACTTCTGTCAAACCCAAACTGGTCCGAATATGCATACGAGCCTCTAGCAATCTCATCTCTGTAACGGTCTGGAAACTCTCGAGTTCCGTCAAAATTCGAATTGTGAGTGGGATATCCTTGAGCATCAGAAGGCATGTTATGGCCATGTGCAGGGTTTTTCTTGTAGACATAATCATTCTGATGACTGGACGTTGGAATGTGAAGTTGATTTTTATCTACATGACCAGGATGGCGTTGGTGGTCAAGTCTCTGTGCCGTGGGCCACTGAGGTGAAGGTCCCTGAGTTCGGTTCCTTCTCTCATATTGAGGAGGAGGCTGCTGTTTTTGCTGCTGGTGTTGTTGTGAGGAGGGTTTGTTGCGAGCTGGAGCTGGCAGATTTTCGTATTCTGCCGCTGTAGGGGAGGCATGCATGTGGTGGCGAGGGGCAGGGACGGGATGGGGAGAAGGACCGGGGGCAGAGCTGTGCGAGGAGGAGGGAACAGGCTGATGCTGGGATGAAGGCGGGTACCGCTGATGTAACGATGATGACGACGATGACTGTGGCGGTGCCCGTGGCTGGGAAGGCTGATGCAAACTCGAGTACGGAGGAGGCTGAGCAGGGTCTGCTATGTACGACTGGGGAGGATGTTGTGAAGGGTGAGAAGCCGAGGGATATGCAGGGATTTGTCCAGGGTCATGAGGCCCACCAGAGTGGGGTTGAGTGTGGGCGTATCGTGAAGCCGATTGATGGGGACGGTGGGGCTCTCTGTCTCGGATCTGGTCTGGGTATACTGGTCGGGCCCCGGGCATATTGGCTGGGTGAATCTCCCGCACATCACCAGTCATAGCTCGTGAAGAATGGCCAGCTGGGTTGACCCTCGGGGAGGCCCCAGACGACCTTGGGGAGGAGCTATTGGATGAGGACCTTGGCGAAAGGTCACCATTGGGTAACGGCCCCAAGGCTGGCTGTCTAAACTTGCTCGAAGAATATGAAGATGACTGGGGCCCTGTCGGGGGAGGCTTCTGGTGTTGCTGTTGTTGATGATGATGATGTTTGCGGTGCTGCGAAGAGGAGCTTAAATTGGCAGGGAGTGTCGCATAACTCCCTTGGTGACCACCACTAAACGTCGAGGACCGTTTGATAGACTCGGACAAAGCTTGACCATGACTGTAATGTCTCTGTCTGGAGCTGTTGACATTGTTGGGAACAAGTCTGCTATTACCATCCCCGCCCGACCCAACCCCTGGAGGCTCATATCCCCCACCTCTCCTATCCCAACCTCCTCCTCCTCCTCCACCACCACCTCGCATTTGATGCTGCTGTTGCTGCTGTTGCTGCTGCTGTTGTTGTTGTATCAACGCTGCACGTTTTCCCCCACCACCACCACCACCACCACCACCACCGTGATGGGCGTTAGAGGACGACATCTGCGGGGCGGGTACCGTCAAAGTCTTCTCCGTCTCTGCCTGCACCAGGTAGAATCTCACCTCGGCGGCGTACTCACCCCAGTGATGCAGCGCGCGGAGCGGGCACTCCTGCGGCGTGAGCGGACGCTCCGAGTCGCGCCATTTCTCCACCAGGGTGAAGCGGCCGGTCCGGCCCATGGCATGGGCGAGCGCGAGGACCACGTCCTGGCAGGTGGTGTTGTAGTTGGCGCCGCACACCACGCGCTGGATGCCCTCTACCCACACCTTCAGCTCCATCGCGGTGAGGGACCTCACAATACACCCCTTTTATGTCCGTCTCTCTTACCCCTCTACCTCACAAAGACCTACTCTCTTCGACTGTTACTGAAGAAATGTCATTCCTTTTGTACCATTGTTTATCACACTAAGTCAGATATGCAAAAAATCATAATGCCAACAAAGTGGCGTATGACGACGAAAGAGTTCAGATCAAACGTTGATCCGTATTAACGTATACACTTGGCACCCGAGAGACAGACGACTAGACACACTCAAGACTCCCGGAGTTCAGGGAATACCCGTAAAACTGGCACCCCTAACCCTCTTCATCCGCGCTGCTCGCCAAGCATTCCATCCCAATGACGACGTAGTTCCAAACAGGAATCACAACGGGAAAAAAACTCGAAACAAGCTCAGATGACGCAACGAACTGAACTGTGCAGAACAATTCGGTACGCCAGCGTTGCTGCAAAGATCTTTCATAACTGTGCTCCAGATTTGACAGCTTCGTCCCTGAAGTCACAGATGTGTTCCACTCCTCGGGCAGTCCAGGTTATCACAACGAAGCGTACCCTGGAAAGAAAAATCAAAAGCGGTTATAAGCAACATTAGAAGGCCAAGGAGTAATTTGGAAAAAAACAACAACACATTGGGGGGGGGGG